GAATGCCAAGATAGCAAAAACACCTGCTGTGAAGACAGTTTCTTGCCATTTATCCACAGGGCAAGCGTTACCCCAAGTGTTGCCCCAGGTACCAGAACACAGTAGGAGTGCAAGGCCAGCTTGTGCAATCTTTGTTTTTACTCCCTGCTGCAAGTCACACTCTGACTGGATTTTTGTCAGACTAAAATCTAGCTCTGATTTAACTGAGTTCAGTGTCCCTCCAGGCATCTGTTAAGATTGATTACTGGAAAGGACAGCAGGGTGCTAACATCCGCTGTCTGAATGCCAAGTCAGTGGAATTACTCAGCCTTTGTGTGGCACAGGGCCAGAACTGCAGATGAGAACATTAAAGGAACTGTTCACGTTAAAATATCATGGGCCATATTCAGATTTGGGGAAGTAAAAAAGCGCAGCTGTTCTGAATTTTTTACCAGCCCTGCTGGCAAAAGAGTACAACTCCTTCTCTAAACAGTCTGAAAGCAGTTTCCTATTTCTAACGTTTCCTCTTGACTTCACTTTACAGTTTGACTCCTTGGCTCCCGTGCATTCGTGGTGTCCCTCGGGGACAGACTGCACGGCCTAAGGCAGAACTGGGCAGTGGCAACAGAAGCAGAATCACCCTGTGGGTGGATGATTCAGCCAGTGCGCTACATGGTGCTGGAATGGCAATGCTGCTTCCAGGGTCCATCCCGGCCTTCTGTTTGATGTTTTGTGGCGTCCTACATAGGCTGACACAAACCTCGCCAGCCAGGACCTGGAGGTGTTTGCTGACAGCAGTGGCAGCCTCTTTGTTCCAGCAGGGCTACCTACTGGGATGCCTATGGTCCCTGTCCCGTGGCAGAACAGTGGCTAAAAGGCTGTGAACCTTAGTCCCTTCCATCACCTCAAATCTGCTCAGGCCTCATCTGCCCCTTCACCTAACAGGTACCTTAGCGCTAGGCTGGATATCTCGAAGTCAGCACTGAGCTCTGCAGGGAAGACAGACACCTGAACTCTGGGTTTCACAACCCCTGGGAGGAGGCTGCTTAGTTCTGCCATACTCAGTAGCTTTAAATATCAGCACATATGGATACTGGTATGAGTTTCCAGTAAGACTTGTTTTAAGACATCTATCCTCCCATTCACACTTTTAAGTTTAAAGACAAAAATTGCTAATAACAGAACAAGAGGGTAGTGGTCAGAATGCAAATTTTCAGAAGGGAAATGTGTAACTAGACATACTGCTGGCCTTTTCCATGTAAGGATGCCAGAGCAGTAATTAAGAGTCAATATGTATGTGATTAACTTCTTTTACTCTCAACAGGGATACTGCACAGAGGATTAACAGCAATGTTTCTCCAATAACTCCCCCTAATCCCAAAATCTAACTACACCTACTCTTTTTTCTGGATCCAAGAAGATATTTGTATAGAAGAGCTGGTCACTGTCATCATCCTGTCCTTTCCAGTCCTCCACAAGCTTCTTCAGGTTTGGAGCATAACCTATGAAGCCTGTGGGAATAAGTATGAAGAGGGGTTTCAACCCAGACAACCAAAAAAGGAAGGTACTCCTGTATACACGTACTCTCACTTCTTTCACACAAAGTCTCACTCCACGCTGTGTGGCTGCGGATACACCAGCTTTCAGCAAAGGCACGTACAGACTGCACTTCCCAACACGGAATGACACCAGGCCAAACCCGTAACCTTTAGCATTAGAACAGCTCAGATACGCACACCCTGAATGACAAGTCTCCCTGAACAGGGAGAAGGGATAGGGAGCGGGTTCCTACCCTCTCCAGGCAATTCATAGCCTCCTGCAGGTGAAAGACAGAAGCATTGTTAGTCTTGCCATTATGGCCAGTTATGCACAGGGCTCCAGTTTGCCCCATCTTCTATACAGATGCTTTCCACACCTGGTCCCTTGCTATTTCTCCCAAAGGCCGCCTAATAGGATGAAAAAGCAGCGAGAGGTTCTCACTGAAAGAAGCTTCTGTGTCTTACCTCCAGAACCCAGGAAGCGCTTTCCATCTCGCACCTGAGGGTACTTGGCTTCCAACTTTCTGTCAGGATAGATGTAGTTCTCTGCCGAGAAGACCACCTTGCTCTTGGCTTGTTTGAACTTCTTCAGCAGTTCTGTGGGGCCCGAAGCAAAGAGTACATCATAGCTAGAGTAAAAGACGGACAAGAAAGGGACAGAAAAACATGTCAGTGTGAAAAGTTTCTAGAAACAGCTAATTCTTTAGGAATCCTTTTCTTTTAGTTCTGCTTCAAAGCGCTACTTTTTTTTTGTCATCATTTAGCTAATCAAAGCGCAATCTTATTCACAGAGTGGAAGATGTTACTTTCCACTGCAGAAGATTCCACACCAGCTTGGGGCAACTTACACCCATTCTTATTTTCACAAGGTTTTCACTGGTGATAAAACCAAACCTTCCAAGTTGCAAAACATGCTGATCTCTTCTTGCTTTTCCCATTTGGAACTCTGAAGCCCTGGTACCCTCACTGTTGTTAACAACTTTTTATAAAGTGGAGGAAGAATTACTCTGCCATTCCTCTCCAGATTAAGCAAACCCATCCGTCATGGTTTTTTACATCTTTTGGCATCCTGCCACTCTCCACTGAGCTCCCTGCAAATCTTCAGGAGGAACCTATGCTGGACACTAGTCACTGGATGCTGCACTCCAGCCACTATCTTCAGTGCTGGGTAAAGTGACTAATTCCCAGGCGACACTCCCAGAACGAGACTTGCATTTTCTGCAAGGGATCTGTGTACTTCAAACTCATTTTGGTGAGTGAAAAAGTTGCTCATTCCAGAGATTAATCATTCCCAACTTCCCTAAACATACACAGACACTCAGAGCTGCCAAAGATAACCACCCTGCCATGGGAGCTAAAGACAGACACAGGGATCCCAGTCCTGCCTGTTGCTGAGCGTATGAAAAGGTGCTGAGACTCCAAACCGTCCTTTTCCCTCTTCACATTTCTCTGGCAGACTAATTCTTGGCTCTCAGGATTGTGTTGCAGCCTGCCTCACCTTATAAAACAAATAATTCTGGTAAGAAAGGCCTGCCTAGATCCACAGAAATTGTCTGCTCATTCTCTGCAGTTAGAGGCAGCCAAATTGCACCCTGGCAGAACCAGGTATAACACTATCAACTTTATGCAAGAGCTGGAATCGGCCTATTCTGATCAGACCTTCCCAGCTGCAACGGATGCAGCTCTGAGCAGCTCTCAGGCAACTGCAGAGAGTTCATGGGTAAAAAAACCAGAGGACGTCTGGACACACCTTCCAAAAGCAATCTACTGCACAGTTAATTTCTTTTTAATAAGAATCTGCCCAAACAGCCTTATGATTCAGTTCATGGCAAATACTTTCCAACCCATTACCTTTCTACGAAAAGGATGATCAAGTCTTCCTTATCCGCATACTGCTTCAAAGCTGATTTCAAGAGACGGACCTTCTGCCCACCTCCTGCTGGCTTCTGGTCATCTCCACCCTGCCATTCCTCATCCAGCCCCAGCACCTAAAGAACGACAGGCACAGGGTCTACTGAACAAGTCACTTTCCCAGCAAGACTCACAGGAAAGGACCAGAACCCACAACCTTACTAGTCCTGATAACTCCCAGTGCAAACCACAACAAAACCCCCAACAACATCAGGACAGATGCACTAGGTATATACCTATATATGCCTTTCAACCATTCTCTGGGACAGACAGTCAGGGACAGGAGCGCACTCTGTACTGTGTGTTTTGGCACTGCAATGGAAAAGTGCCTTGGGGCTCCCTTGAGCAGGAGTTCTGGATCTCATCTCAAGGATGGAATAAGCGACTGCTGCAGAAATGCCCCAGTCACAGTATTTTTCAGCTAGCTGAGTAGGTGTCCCCTCTCTTGAGTTTTTATTTAATCACTTTGTGGCAAAGTCTTATCCATTCCACGCTTCAAAATATTCCCTTTTACCAACCACCAAGGCTGCTGGCCATCACCTGGACTTTGTAGCTGAAGAATTGGGCTGATCTTCTAAAGCGCTGGAATCCCTCAGTCTGCTTGGTGGCAACAGTGAGAACCAGCAGGTTTTCTGCATACAGGAGAAAGCACAAGAGACACATTCAACTTGCGTTGTTTTCACAACCAAATGTTCCAAACCTAAGGAAGAGGCTTTGCTATCAGATACTGAGCCAAGGTAGGGATCAATAGTCTTAAAGGTACTTGACAGATTTGACAAAGAGAAGTCAAAATCCAGCCATTGAGAAGCAAAGTGACTTTCCCAGTACATTATTTAAGCTGATCATGAATCCAGCAATAGAATCCAGGAGTCTCAGGTTCTGCGCCGTCACTGCTGTTCATGGACACAGGTTAAGTCTGTTCTATATGACACTGACAGGTGCTCAGGTTCATTTTAAATCAGGCAAGGCAGGTAGCCTAGCTGTGGAGCTACCATAACCTGCTGAGAAGAAAACAGCTTGCTTACACCTCACCCAATTATCTCTACACTGTACAATGTTAAGCACTATAGGTGTTCTCGCTGCCACAAAGCTCCAGCCTCAGGAAGAAAACCAGCTTCAAATCCTATTTATTTGCTACCTGGGTTTTCTTGGCACCAAATCATCAAAGATTCCTGGAGGGAAAAAAAGAAAGTGTGGACATAGCCAGTGTTTTACTGGAGAAACTAACTATCACAGGGGACAGAACATGGCAAAGGTGCTCTCAAATTTCAGTGTTTGATTGACAAACCCAAAACTAACTGCAACAGAAGCAAGACTGTTCCTCTGCAGCGGAGATTTGAACTTGGTCCTGGGTATAAAATGACAGATTATGTAAAGATGCAATTTCATCGCCTGAGTTACGAGTTAGGAAAAAGAAAATGTAACGTATTAAGTGGTTTTTTGCCCTGCTATTGAAAGCTACAATTCTCTTCTCTCACATAGAGCATGAAGGAAATTAAACTTGAAGATAAAAAATAGAACTCATACAAAATGCCCATTTGGAAGTTGTCCATTTAGTGCAATTGGCTTCCTGTTCCCCACAGAGTTGCTTCTTTGTCACTCAGCATTGACTGGGGGTAGGGAAGACCAAAATTAAGCTGAATGTTATTATTCCCGCTTCATGGCTGCTCCAATTTTCTGCTGCATTCCTGAGGTGTTTTCCAGATTTTTTCATACATACACAATATGAATTTAATTCTGCCGTAACTTTCATTTACATTCTTCTCTCAAACTTGCTTTTCATTCCCAGTCCCTTAAAAATGGCAAAGCTAAATCCTGAAGTTCTCTTTCAGTTTTCCTATAGTACCACTGGAATATGATTTATATGCGGAAGCCCTGATTTCTTCAGTGTAATGATTAAATGCTACACTTCATCTTAACATTTCCGCTTAAGTAGGAATTTGTATAGGCTCTGGCAACACTGCTTAAATGCAAATCCTGGCCATCCGATTTTAACATTAGAAAATACCAGGAAAAACTGAAAGCACATTTTCTTGGCTTGAGGAGGCCTCTTTTGGAACAATGATTTTTTTCAATGGATGTACCAGATACATCTTCCTAATGTACCCAAACTCATAATTCTGTCTGATCTTAGAGAAGAAGGATCTAGGAGCTGGAGTCCTAGATAGACGTAAGAAAGGCAGCAAAAGTATAAAATAAGCCTAAGACTCCAAGTTAGGAAGAAAGAGGGTGTTCCCAAGGAAACTCCTAAAATCTTTACCTGCATCAGAATAAGAGAGAGGAGAGGCTGAGAACAGCCAATAGAAGGTCAAGTCTAATTGTATTTTGTTAGACACTCACACAGACAGACAAAAGGAGGGATAAATAAAAGAATATGAACCCTGCATTTGTGCAGTTTTTAAAGGCAGATTTTTAGATGTATGAAGTGCATTTCTAATCCAGCTCCTCCAGCACACTGCAGTTCCTTGTGTCCTGTCCAGTCAGGGGGTGCAAACAAATGAGCAAAATATTTATCTCCTCGGGGAATATGTTAAAGCCATTTAAGTTTCTAGCCATACAATGGCATGCAGAAAACCATGGCAGCTTTGCTAAGACAGCTCTGAGCTCACGGTTTCCAAGAAGGTAAAGATCATACTGCCATGAATACTGGTGAAGAGCGGCAAATGTGGGTTTGCCAGAGAGGAATGTAAAGACAAACATCAAATTCTAGTAACCTGAAAGTAGAGGAGAAAGCATATGATAATGAGGAAGGAAGGGAAGGCCTGACTACTACGCAATTATTTCAGCCTGAATTCTCAGGCATCTCACATTAAGTAAATCACGAATTAATTTTCATGCTGCCACCCCAAGAAAGCAACAAACAGTTTATAATATGAGCACCAGAAGTTTGCTGGACAAGATGTGAGAGCTAAAGGCTCACAGGGATCAACAGGAAGCAGTGTCCTATTTCTAAGACAGAAAAGGTTTCACCGTGCAGCATGTGAACTCGGAAAAGCCAGCGCAGAGACAATTATCCTCCCCAGCAGAATTCCAAGTTACAGATTCCCTTCTCATCACGGGTCTGCAGGGGCAGGACTCTGAGAGACATTACACTCAGTTTCTGTTCTGAGAAATCTCTGCAGTAGCGAGAGCTTTCCATCCCAAGAGACATTCCTTCACTCCAGTACTAGAAGCTCATGCTGAGCTACGCTGCCTCCACTCCCTCTCCTTTAACCCTTTTTTCTCTTCCTCAATGATTTCACTGAACACTGATGCAGCTGACAGGTATTTCCAGAGATGAAGCAGTAAACCCTTTTAATGCCAGTATCACATGCAGGCACTTTAAAACCTCCAAAAGCAGATTTATGCTTCCCTATTTTCCCTGTCACAGTTACTTTTCATATGTAGAAACGGTAGCCTGTTCTCTTAAGCTGGGCCTCCTGGGCCCAGAGACTCCTTGGGCCATGCTGGCAATCAGAAATCATATAAATACACTTAACAACGGTATGGCTGCAAAATACGAACACGGTGTGGTTAACAAAGCAAGCACTGGACTAGGAACGAGGGAGCTGGACTGTACCGCTACCTCTGTGTGCAACAAGGAGCCAATCTTGCTGTCCCTCTGTAGAATGATAATAGAGGAGATTTACCACTTTTGTGAGGGTTTTTGAGCACTATAGATGCAAAGGATGCTGTAGGGACAAAGCACTGGAACAGGGACTCTGATAACATCACAGTGAAAACAACTGAGTTCTCTCAAACAGTAAAAATCAGTGACAAGATGAGTTCAGTAACAAAAAATTTTAGAGTTATTTACTTCTGCCCTGACTCTACAGGGAAAGCACAGCTGCAGCTGCATTTTAGGACAAGGAATGAATTTATCCCTAGGCTGTACTTTGGGAATCCTTACTGTGCCACTTCCTGTTAAGACGGTGTCCAAGAAAGCACTATTAATACAGTGATCAAATAGAAAAAATCAGTGCACAATTTAAAAGTGGACAATATAATCTCTGTATTAAATTTACATTTACAAAAGTTGTTGGTTTTTTTTTTTAATATTCCATTAACCACAAATAACCGTGCTTAGAGCTTTTGTAGAGATCTAAAAGAACATACAGGAGAAGATAGGTATCATTACTCTCATATTACTCCAGGGAGGCTGAGGCACAGAAAAGGTAAGGCATTTTTTCTTCAAACCATGCCAGAAGCGACTGGTTCAGAAAGCAGTTAACCACAAATCCCTCTTCCTAGCCAACACACCTCATTTTCTTTTCCCAGCACCCAATTTCACATCTTTAGTGTGCTCTAACATCTTACTAAAAACATGGAAGATTTTAGGTGTGTAATGAAGGCAGGACAGCACAGAGAGATTAATTTCTTTCTTATATTTGTCTAATAGTTATCCTAAATGCTGAAATTATTTTGCTTTAGTTATGCCACTATAGCTAAAGAACTCCAAACACTCCCTTGGATACACATTAACTTCATTATTATTAAGTAATATATATAGTAAAGGTAATTACACCAGAATCACATCTTGTGAAGGAAAATACTCTAGGTAACAAGATGAAATTTCCTTGTAATTGCCAGTTCTCTAATGAAGACAGAGATAATTATCCAAACCTCTTGGCAGAGCGACAGTGTCTGAACCTCTTTGTCAGCCTGGCTGACACTCTGTAGCTGCCCTAATCCTCCGCTGTTCTACCAACTACTCTTAGAGCATCTACCAACTGTTTACGTGGGGCCAGACTGACGTTTGGAGCATCCCGGATCTCAGGTCACAGTGTGGCCAGCCTGGGATCCAATGCTCTCTGTTACCTAATCCTTAAACTGTGGAAATTCCAAAGCAGGAAGAACTGACCGAGGCGGGATGCAAACCAAGGCGCTGCGAGTACTCTACTGGGATGAAACGGTGCCCGAGGCGGGTCTCACAACTCAGACCTGGGAGCGCCCGTCTGGTGACCGAGGTGCTCAAGCAGCCTGTGCAGAGGACAGGCTCGGAGCTCGGCAGCAGCCTCCAGCTGCCGCCCGGGGGCTCCGGCTCTGCCGCGGGCACAACTCTCGGGTCGGGCGATGCCTCCGAGCTGGAGCGGGGCGCGAAGGACAGCGGTGGCACCAACAGCGGACGTCCCCGTCCATCAGCCCGGCCACCAGCTCCCCGTGCTGCCGGTCCCC